TTAGGGGTTTAGGGTTTAGGGGTTTAGGGTTTATGGGTTAGGGGTTTAGGGTTTATGGGTTAGGGGTTTAGGGTCTAGGGGTTTAGGGTTTAGGGGTTTAGGGTTTAGGGGTTTAGGGTTTAGCTTGACACTCAAGCCCTGTGCCATGGACCTGGAATCCCACACATGACGCGTCTCAACTCTATTAATAATCCCAATATATACCAATATAGCAGTTTCCATTTTATTTTCCATGATCCCAATATAACCCCAACATTGGGAATGGTGCTTGTTCTTGACATGGTTGAGCTGGATCTTCAACGCCTTATGAATCTATCTGACCAATGCCACCCTCTTGTGATTCTTATAGTGTACTCGGGTCAGCTTCGGCTAGCCCTAGGGCCATGATCACTCGGCCGGTTATCTACGTTCTACAAAATCCCAGCCACTGCATTTTGATGAAGATGATGTTGTTCTTGATGAACTGAAGGTTGATGATGAAGATTGCACAGCTTAGAGCCCAGGGTACAGGGTCTATGGCATGTAGGGTTTGAGATGTAGGGTGCTAGGCTGGATAGCATTCTCATGATGATGAATGTCACGCTTGAGGGGCCCGCTGCAACCAGCGATTCCTCGCGACAAGTGGCCCGCGCCCCGTGCAAAAACCTGGGGCATTTAGAAGATTCTGCGTTTTTCTGTAGGGAGACGTGTTTCTTGGGTGGGAAGCAAATAAGGAGACCATACATTGCTCAGGATCCACCAAAAAAGACGAAGGCAGGGTTGCCATCCACAGGTATAAGCCCTACCAGGGTGAGCTCGTCGGGGGAGTTTAGGACTTAGAGTTAAAGGCTTTTGGGTTTAAGGTGTTGGCCTGGTAGGCCTGGTTGAAGGTCACGAAAATGAGCTGTGGTGGGTGCCAAGCGCAACACAGCCTATAGGTCGTCTAAGCAGCAAGCTATTAATTAGCTCTTGCCAGCTTGATCGCCTGCGCTTGGCCTTATATAACCCTATAACCCCTATATGAACCTTATAAGCCCTCTGTATAAACCCTGCATCCCCCTAAACTAGTAGTTTTCATCTTCTTTTCCACTATACCCATATGGTCCTTTAGCGATGCTGTGCCCACCTGCTCCTTTTCTCTTCGGTGGCTGGCTTCGGTACACTTGCATTTCGCTTCTCCATGTAACTTGTAGATGGGGCCAAACGCGTGAAGTAGATGGATCCTGGAATTTCCCAGCATCCTGTTCCTACCAGGTCCCACAATTTCGTGCTAAATTCGTCGTGACACGAAATCTACTTTCCCCGTCCATTCCAATTCAAATCCTGACACTTAAGGCATGGTATGATGGTTCCTGACAGCAGGAGCCATGAACTGGGGGAGCTCACTGAAGTTTGCTGCCCTACAGCAAGGCCCTATCCTGATACTCAGTTAAGACCTTTCTGATATCCATTTGTGCGATTGCATTTTGTGCAGAGGGAACGGCCATTCCACAAACCAATCTGCCGCAATCCCTACACTTCAAAGCATCATTGCTGAACCCCAAACCCTAAACCCTAAACCTTGAACCCTACACCCTTAACCCTTAAACCCTAATCCCAAAACCCTTAAACCCTAATCCCAAAACCCTTAAACCCTAAACCTTGAACCCTAAACTCAAAACTTTGAACCCCAATCCCTGAGCCGAGTGGGCGAGGGTTTAGGGTTTAGGGTTTAGGGTTATCTAGAGGATTACATGAGGTTTATGGCTTGGGTTATATAGGGGATTATATAGGGTTGAGGGTGTGGGGTTTAGGGTCTAAACTCCTTACAGGCGGCTTCTATAGGGGAGTATAAAGGGGAGTATTTTTGGGGTTATTAAGGGGGATGGTAGGAGTTTAGATTATTGCTCATATAGAATCTTGAAGTTTGATTAATTCCTGATGCCTGAAAGCCCAGACTAACATGCAAGCCAACAAGAGCCCCTACAAAGACTTCTCTACTTTTTTTTCGGGACCCTTTCTGTAGACCTCTCTAAATTGCATATTCCTCATTTTAGGGACCCGCAAAGGCCAATGGCCTAATCTTTGGAAAGTTTCGTGTGGGCTTCCATGGTGTTGTCACGGTAGTGTATGTCAAAGTTGAAGCTTCGAGTTCCGGCGAGGGACTCTAAAACCCTAAACCCTAACCCCTGGGTAATCCCTAAGCCAATCCTCCATAGTTCCCTGGGTAATCTCAAAGCTCTACACCTTAACCTCCATGCTCCCGTTGATTAACCCAAACACCCTCAAACCCTTAAACCCTAAACCCTAAGCCCCTAAGCCCTAAACCCTAAACCCTAAGCCCTAGACCGTAATCCCTAGACCCTAAACCCTAAACCCTTAACTCTTAAGCCTTAAACCCTAAACCCTAATCCCTAAATCCTAATCCCTAGACCCCAAGCCCTAAACCCTAAACCCTTAAACCCTTAAACCCTAAACCCTTAACCCTTAAACCC